ATTTTATTTTGTTTTACAGAGAGGAAGGGAGAAGGATAGAAAGTTAGAAACATCGATAAAAGAGAAACATGGATCAGCTGCCTCTTGCACACCTCCTACTGGGGATGTGCCCGCAACCAAGGTACATGCCCTTGACCAGAATCGAACCTGGAACCCTTGAGTCCGCAGGCCGACACTCTATCCATTGAGCCAAACCAGTTTCGGCATAAAAAAACTATTTAAATTGCAACTGTTCCTTTTTACTCTTTTAAAGTGGCTACTATAAAATTATACATGTGGCTTGTGTAATATTGATATTGGACAGTTCTGGTCTAGACAACCATGCCCCAATCCTTGGAATCATTTTAAAAGTCTATAATAAAAAAAGCATAATATGCAAATGGACCAAACAGTAGAAAGACCCAGACAGCTATGCTATATGCACTGCCTCCAGGACAGCCAAGGCAGGTGTGATGCAATTGGTCTGTGGGGGGGGGGGGGGGAGGAGGGGAGGCCTGCCATCCTCTGCAGGGCTATCTATGGGGAAGCTCTGTGACTGATCACCCCAAAGAGGGAGGCCCAAGTCACTGGGGCGATCAATAGGGGGTAATGGGGGGTTGTCTGTGATCACCCACCGGCTGGTGGTGCAATAGAGGGTGGGCGGGACCTCCCTCTGCGAGGTGACTGATCTGGGGGACCCGTGATCCATGGCCCCACAAGGGAAGCCCAGGCCAGCCAAGTGATTATACCCCACACCTGTTGCCCGCAGGAGGAAGTCACTGGTGGCAGGGAGCGGGGAGCATCATCATACAGATGGCAAGCAGTGGCTGCAGTGGGGGCGAGGCCAGCTGCCAACAGCTAGGGGAAGGAAAGCCACGATAGGTCCCGATCTCTGGGCAGGCCCAGGGACCTTACCCAAGGGGTCCCAGATTGTGAAAGGGTGCAGATTGGGCTGATGTGCCCGCAACCAAAGTACATGCCCTTGACCAGATCAAACCTGGAACCTTTCAGTCCGCAGGCTGACGCTCTATCCACCGAGCCTAACAGTCTCGGCCCTGTGCAAATTTCATGCACCAGCCCTCTAGGCCTATATAATAAAAGCCTAAAATGCAAATCGACCAAACGGTGGAACCACCGGTTGCTGTGATATACACTGACCACCAGAGGGCAGAAGCTGCCCCTAGCATGCAGGCCAGCCAAGGCAGGTGAGCTGTGCCCGCCACCCCCCTCCACTGCCCCACAGAGGCAACTGGTGGCAGTGGCAGTGGCAGGGCTGGCGAGTGGGCAGCACAAGGCCAGCCAAAGTGGGTATCAATGGGGACCCCTGATTGCCCCACAGATTGGCCATGATTGCTGGCCAGGCCTAGGGACTCTACCTGTGCACAAATTTTGTGCATTGGGCCTCTAGTGTGTGTGTGTGTGTATATATTAAAAAAAAAATATATATATATATACATATATATATAAATCATTTCAGAGAGAGAGAGAGAGAGAGAGAGAGAGAGAGAGAGAGAGAGAGAGAGAAGTATCAATGAGAATCAATGATCAGCTACTTCCTGCATATCCCCTACTGGGGATCAAGGCCATAACCTGTGCCCTGACCAGGAATTGAACCATGACCTCCTATCCAAAGATGGAGGCTCAACCATGAGCCACATTAGCCAGCCTGGAATCATTATTCTTCCCCTTCCCTCACTCATGTTTCATTTCTCAGCAACAAACTCTATCTCCAACCCATCTATACTTTATCTTTACTGCTGTTCTCCATGTTACTCTCTATTCCTTAAAACCCGTCAATGGCTTGTAGAGCAGTTACCAACCTTTTGGACCTCACAGACTTCATGGACCACCAGCTGCTGACCGCAGCTCCAAAGGTTTTCTTAAACCGGCGGTTGCCAACCTTTGGCTCTGTTCTAGAGCACTTAAACTTACCAAGGATGCAGACTTCATCTTCTGCCATTCCTTCCTTTGCCCGCTAGACTTCAGCCACTCTAGCTTCCTCGCTAAACACAACCAACTCTCACTTCTGCTATTACCTTGGGAGGCAGGTAATAAGGCCCTGCTATTCCCTTTGGTCTCAAATATTGCTCTTAACTTATTATCATTCAAGTCTTAGCAGAGAATATCTTCTGAGAAGCCACCTTTGACCAACAACCAAAATTTTACCCACTCTCTGCCCCAGAACAAGGCTTTTTCAATGTTCTTCATGGAACATATTATGGGATATTATTTTTCTTCTTCTTTTGGAAAACTTATAGTCTATTCCCTCTACCAGAAGCAGGAGCCTCTGTTGGTCTTGCTGCTGCTTAACCTATTCCAGTGTGTTCAACAGTGCCAGTTACAGCTCTTGAAACAACGTAAATGAATAAACATCTAATTACTTACTAGACATATCTGCTTGTTTGGTTCACAATCACTTCAATTTCCAAAAGGTCGTAACAAAACCTTCTTCCTTCCCTAACATATTTTTCTTTAAATATGTTTTATTGATTTTTTTTTTTTTTACAGAGAGGGAGAGGGATAGTTAGAAACATTGATCAACTGCCTCCTGCACACGCCCTACTGGGGATGTGCCCACAACAAAGGTACATGTCCTTGCTGGAACCGAACTAGGGACCCTTTAGTCCGCAGGCTGGTGCTGTACCCACTGAGCCAAACCAGTTAGGGTCTAACATGTATTTCTTTTTCCTGGTTTCTAATCTCAATGAAGGCGTTGTCATCCTACCAGTTGCTCTCCCAACAAACTTTGGGAGTCATCTTTGACATCTACCTCTCAGTATTTCCCTTTCCCAGTCGACCAACTCACCAACCTCTCAATCACTGGTAGTATTCTCCAGGCCTATTTGCTTCTATCTCAATAATCTCTCACCGATTACGGTTTCCATGTCTCTGATTTTTGCGCAATCTGTCTAAAATGCAAATCCTTATGATGCTTCTATCTAAAAATCTTTCTTCAACTGCTTCTTCTTAGCTCTCAAAAGCTAATTCCCTGCACATGGCATTTCTGGCCTTCACGACTCGTCTTCTCAGGCACTCCGACACAGCATTATCTCCTTCACCCAATAATTTCTTCAGAGTTTGGGTCTTAACCTTTGCACTTATCACTTCCTCTGCCTGGAAGGACCTTCTTCAATTTCCTTATTAAAGCTAATTGCTTCTCCATTCCCATTCCATTCCTGCCTCCCAAGGTAAGAGATTCCTCTTGTCTGAGATTTCACAGTAGTCAACACTTTACCCTCATTCTACTGATGATGCCTATTTACTTGTCTGCATTCTACAGCATAAGATCAATGAAAGCAAGGATGCTAGAGAATTCATCACCTGAATGAATTTAAAGAACTTAGTTAAAGAGGAGCATCAGACCAAAAATCTGACCAATTTTTATCAACTGAAGCAATGAACATATTAGACCAAAAGGAAACACACAATATGGCCCCGAGGTCCTTCACTCTGCTTCTAGTTTAGGCACAATGCTTTAAGAGGTCACACAAAAACTGTACAAGTCTTGACTACAGTATGTCAATATTACAAAAGAGTAAGCAGAGAAAAAAATTACTTATCCCAGGCCACAAAAACCAGTGGGCAAAATAGATTTTATTAAACCTGTCAGCTCTCTTGATTTATCTCAGATAGCCTGGCTATAGGATGCCAAAAGCTGCACAGGTAGCGGGCTGGGGAAGCTGGGCAGGTAAGTCATCCCCAGGTTCCTCCGTTAAAAACACATCAGCGTGGGCCTGGTCCTGCGGCTCAGCCGGTTACAGCCTTGTCCTGAGATGCTGTGGGTTTGATCCCCAGCCAGCAACCCACGGATGCATAAATAAGTGGAACAACAAACAGATGTTTCTCTCTCTAGAATAAATCAATAATCACCCCCCTTCCCCCCAATAAAACCAGTGTGTCGGGTTTCTTAGCAAATCGGCCCGTGCAAATTACATTCGTAAGGCTTTACTTTGCACATCCCCATAGCCAAATAAACTTTTGCTCCTCTAAATACAACACAACACACACCATGACATTCTGGCCACACACACACACACACACACACACACACAAAGCAAGCACATCTCTACCTCCGGTGACAGTAATCCCAAGGGAGTTCAGAGAGCAGTTACTAGGATCTACGATGTATGAGACAGCATCAGGATTAAAAAAAAAAAAAAAAAGCAAGCTACAGTAACAGTAATCTATACGTCATAAACCTGAGCATCCTCGTTCCTCCCCTTGTACCTCCACAGCGACTCCTGTCCCAGCCTGCCTAGCTCCATCTAAGGCCGCTTTTCAGCCAAGGCCCGGCCGCCCTTGCATCCCCGCCAGCCAGCCCGCCGCGAGGCGCCGCCCTCCGCTCAGCCTCGGAGCCCGGACGCCCGGTCCCGCAGCGTTCATGCCGGAGCGGCGCGCAGGTCAGCACACGCACCGCGGCCGCCCGCTCCCGGGCCGCGGCGGAGGCGGGAAAGCCCGGCGGCGGCGGCCGCTCCCGCGCACATGGCCGCACTTCCCCCCGTGCGCGCAGGCGCCGGGCGAGCCGGGACTCGCGGGCGCCCAGAGCGGATCATTCCGCCGGCTTCTTTGTGTGGCCCAACTCTAGAAATGGCCCGCTTCCTGCCCCTCCGTTAAAAACGAAAAAAATCACACCCTCTCGCCCCCTTCTTCCCTCCGGAGTGGGGTCGGGCCGGAGGGCGGGAGGGGGGTCTGTTGACGCGGCCGGGCGGAAGGGCCCGCGGCCGCCGGGGGGCCGGTCCGGGAGGGATGCTGGGAGGCGGACTCACTCTCACACGATGTGTCCCTCCGCGCGCACACGGGGGACTTTTCGGTGGGGATTTTGGGCGCCGACCAGACGCGGCATTTTCGGAAAACAGCGCCCAGTGCAGCTGAAGCGCTGTGTGTGCGAGGCGGGGCCGCGTCCGCTCGGCCGGGTACGGAGCGCCTCGGGTCCCGCACCCCTCCCGCCGCTCCCCCGCCGCCGCCGCTCCCAAAGCTTTTCCAGGTCAGTGCGGGTCTGTGTCGGGCCCTGTTACCACCGGATGTGGAAGTTGATCTCTTCGCTGGTAAAAAATAATTCCACTTCCCCCGGAACCCAGATCATCCCCGCGATTTCCTGTTTATTGCATTAAGGCGCCGGGTTTCCGGGGCTCCTTTGGCCCCGCTTATGCCGCGGGGGTCGGCGGGGTCGGCCTGGGCGCCCGCTCCGCCCGCGCCGCCGCCGCCGCGCATTGTCCGCCGGCACCCCGCTTCGGGGAGGGGCGGGCAGACATGGTGGTGGCGGCCCCCTCCTCCTCCTCGGCCCCGGCGCCGCCGCGGCCTCCCCGCGCCGCTCCTCGCCAGTCGGGTCCGGCTCGGCGGCTCCGGCGGGGATGGTGTGGGGCCGCGGCCGCGGGAGCTCTGCGGGCGGGCGGGCGGGGGAGAGGGGCAGGCGCGGCCCGGCCTCGGCGCCCGCCGCCCGGGAGCCGCGGGTCTCTTTGTCTGGGCGGCCGGGCCGCCCCGCCGGGCTCGCTGGGAGCGGGAAGGCGAGGGCGGCCGGGCCCGGGCGCGCTGGACCGCGGAGCCCTCGGAGCCCTCGGGGCCCGGAGCCGCCGGGGCGGCGGCAGAGCGGACGGGTCCAAACAGGGTTCAAACCCGGGAGCCCTTCCCTTGGCCTCGGCTTCGGGGTCTGGAGCCCTGTGGGGACTTGGCCGCCGGGACCCGCGGGGGCACGGCTTGGGGAAAAGTTGAGAGTTTTGGCCCGGGCACCTCGGCCTGGGCACTGCTGGTGTGTCCTGAGGCGGGCGTGCTGCGGGGGAGCTCTCTCTCGTAGCGGGTGCCTTAGCCTCGAGGGTGCAACGTGAAAACTGAAACCGGAGGAGTGATGCAGGCCCGCCTTGCGTGTGTTTCCCCCACTCTGAGCTTGTTTGCAGTACACACAACTTGCTTTAAACCTGATTGGACTGTGGCAGGCAGACATCTGTTCCAAGGAGGGGCAGAGACCACAGAGCTGCTGAAGGGGGCTTGGGAATGTGGAAGTGTTTTTAAGAGCTCTCTGGACAATGGTTTGCTGTCTGGATTCAGGCAAGTTAACTTTCTGAAGTACAGTTTTTTTTTTATCTGGAAAATGGAGTTCAGTTTTTTATCTGGAAAATGGTTTGATGTCGTTAGTCAAGGGTCCTTGTGATTGGCCATCAGAATGAAAGACGCACTGTACAGGAATTTATTATGTAAAAGTTAGCGGTCACACGTCTTTTTTTTTTTTCCTTTTTTTTTTTTTTTTTTTTTTTCCAGATAGTTTATTTCACGTCTAGATCCACCCAGTTTGGTTTAACTTTCTTAGGAACATGTAACCCTCAGCCTTGGCACTTCCACTTTCAAGCTCAGACTTTGAATTTCAGGAAACTAAAGGCTGCTTTATTGCATTTCTTCACTTTCCTCCTTTTAGTATGTAAAATAGCAAAAATAAATTCATTGCATGTTAACATAAGTGACATACTGGTCAAAGAGTGACATTTCTACAAGAGTTTAAGTGTCTGGTTGAATGGAAGACAGACTCTTAAATCTACTTCTGCATTCAATCTGTTGTGGTATCACACCATAAAACCTCTGGAACAATCCACTGTATACTTTTTTTTTAAACTAAGAAATGTGTCATTTCTAGTTTGTGCTCACCATACAAGTCAGGATAATATATCAGACATTTTATATTTTTTACCAGACATTTTAAAAATAAGGATAAGATGGCTTATTTCTACACTTTTTTCTTAGGCTCTAACTTTTTTCAGTTTGGGAATTAGATGTATAAACAAGCATTATGAATAACGATTGCATAATCCCTTGTGATTCTGTACACAAATGAAATGTGAGTTCCATGTTGCATGTGCTTGTGAGAACTTGCATGTAAATGTAATTTTTGAAGCTAGGGCACTTCTCAAAGCACTTTAGGAACTCTAGATTTAGAGGGAATCCTGTAGAGAAACCTTTGGTAAACAATACTTTTGTAATGCATATATTTACCCTTCAAGTAAACTCAGAGTTCTGTAACTTAGAGCTGTCTATCTCTGATTCAATCTGGTTTTTCTATATGTTGAGGGGCAATTATACTGTAAATGAAAATTTAAGGCCATACGTTAATTTAATGGTTTTGAAATGAAGCTAAATTCATTTCCAGTTGTTTCTGTGAACTCTAGTCAGATTCTGTCTGTAGTTCTACACTGTTCCATCAACAGGAAGCATCTGGTCATTCTTGTAATTGTTAGAAAATGCCAGGTATATTTTTGATGTTTGCTATTCAAATAAAAATAAATGTCAGATTGGATTTTAGTTTGCCCCTGACCCCCTTATCTCTGAGATGTATTTATAATGGGCCGCATATTTCCTAGAATGGACTTTTTTTTTTTTTTTTTTTTTTGCTCTTGAGTATTTTCGTGAGTTAGAAATAGTAACAAACAAATCATGAGGAATTCAGGTTATTACATGAATTTTTGAATCATGACTTCATTTTGAGCATGCATTTTTGGCTGTGTGGTGTCTCTCCCTTTGCAAGTAGCCTGAACATGGATGAACTCACTGATGAATTCCATTGCTGCTTTCTCTGCAAACAAGCCAAACAAATCTTAGAGTTCAGGGCAACTTAGTTTTCTTTTCTTTTTAAATATATTTTATATTTATTTTTTACAGAGAGGAAGGGAGAGAGATAGAGAGCTAGAAACATCGATGAGAGAAATCATCGACCAGCTGCCTCTTGCACACCCCCCATCGGGGACGTGCCCGCAACCAATGTACATGCCCTTGACCGGAATCGAACCTGGGATCTTTCAGTCCGCAGACCAACGCTCTACCACTGAGCCAAACCGGCTTCGGTGCAACTTAGTTTTCTAATGAATATCATTTCTTTGGTTCCACAGCTTTCCAACCAGTGATCATGTTTCTATAACACTAATGTCTCTACAGCTATCATTAGTATTATACTTAAATTTTCTCAAGATGCTTGTTTCATCATGCTCTCTAGAAGGCAAATCTCTTAAATCTTAGTATTAGCAGTACTAGGGCTTGTGTTTCCTCACACTGTTGACAACAGTGTTTTGCACAGAGAAGATACTTTGGTGTAATCAGCTGTCAGTTCAGTCTTTGGTAGGCGAGTACACCTCTATTTGGACTAAGTCTGTCCATGATGTAAGTGTAGAGGCTTAGCATGAAGTGATTTTTTTACGGAACATAATAAGTCCATATGCAAGGCTATTGATACATTTAGAAATAGAAATCTAAATCTCTTAGTCCCAGTTCTCTGAAAAATTTTATTTTATTTTATTTTAATTGATTTCAGAGGAAGGGAGAGGGGAAAGGAGATAGAAACATCAACGATGAGAGAATCATTGAGGCTGCTTCCTGCACAGTTCCTGCCAAGGGTCGAGCTTGAAACCCAGGCCTGTGCCCTGACTAGGAATTGAATCTGAATCTTTTGGTGCATGGGTCAATGTTTAACATTGAACCACACGGCTGGGCTAATTTTATTTTTTGAAGTATATGACATCCTGAAGTTGCTAGAACATCATAGGTAAAGAGCATGATGTTAGCCCTACTTTGTACTGGTTGTCTTAAAGATGAGACATATGTCAGCATAAGTGGGGCCTTGTATCAGTTTTCAGATTTTATATCATAATCACCTGGCAGGCTAATTAAAAAAAAACAAACAAAAAACCCCTGTCCTAGCCAGTTTGTCTCAGTGGATAGAGCATCAGCCTGTGGACTGAAAGGTTTAGGATTTGATTCTGGTCAAGGGCATATGCCTGGGTTAGGGCATATGCCAGTGGGGAGTGTGCAGGAGACAGCCAATCAATGATTCTCTCATCATTGATGTTTCTGTCTCTCCCTCTCCCTTCCTTTCAGAAATCAATAAAAATATATTAAAACTGCTGAAACCTGTTCGGCTCAGTGGATGGAGCTTTGGTCTGCGGACTAAGGGTTCCCAGGTTTGATTCTGGTCAAGGGCATATGCCTTGGTTGCGGGCTCATACCCAGTGGGGGGTGTGCAGGAGCAGCTGATGGATGATTCTCTCATCGATGTTTCTAGCTCTCTATCCCTCTCCCTTCCTCTCTGTAAAAAATCAATAAAATATATTAAAAATATATATATTAAAATAGATGAACGGAAAAAAAATCCTGCAGAGGCCCAAGCTTAAGTAGAATAGGAAGTGGGCAAGTAGGTGGTAGACACAAGTTTTTTTCAAGTTCCCTAGGTGGTAGACACAAAAACCAGAGGACCTTGATCATGGGGGAAATGAAAAGGAGGAAAGGCTCAACAAGCTTATCTGAGAAATTATAGTTGTCTATAAATATTTGAAGGCTTGTCACACAGCCCAGGTTTGATCTGACCAGAAAGAACTCGGATCAATCCATAGAAGTTAGAAGGAGGCAGATTTCAATATTCTTCCAAGTTATATTGTTTTGGGTGGTTGGTTGTCCGTTGTCACTGACAGTGTTCAAGTTAGGGACTTTAGAGGAATGGTGCTGAGTGAGCATTTGGACTTGGTGTCCTTACGTTTTCTACAAATTTTGAGATTTTGTGGAATGTAAGTTTGCAGCTAAAAAGTGGAAGAGCAAAAGCTAATTGAGTGAACCAAGCTGGTTAACTTAATTGGATCATAGTTTTTATTTTCTTGGATTAAAAAGATCTGAGTGTTATGTGAGAGAGCTATTTGATGAGATCTTTAAACCCAGCAAACTCAAAAGCCTTCTGATATGGAAATTCCCACTTAAGGGAATTTATCTTGATTTAATAAAGATACTGTTGAATTGGTAGCTTATGAACGTACCAATTATAGCATTGTTGATAACAGCTGTGTATTAACATTTACCCCCCCCCCCCCTTAATCATAAAAACTAGATAATATACTATTTTTCAGAAGAGAAAGTTGAGGGATAGAGAAATGAGGTAGCTTGCTTAAGGTAGCCGAGTTAGTGATAGAGCGAGAGCTTGAATCCAAGCCATTTGACTCAAGAGCCAGTGACTGTTGATCATTATGCTGTAAAGTTGTAAACAACCTAAATATTTCAGAGTGATTGCTGGGGTATATCCCCACTG